AGAATGAAATTGCTCTTCACCGAGGCGGGGAGGACTCTGGGTGGAAAACTCTGCGGGGACTATCAGGAGTCTAGCTCTTGATGCACTGAGTTTGTTTTAGGGTGATCCTGCAATGTTTCGCTGCAAAGGAGATGGTTCAGTAAAGACCTGAAGGAAATGAGAAAGCAGAACTGGGGAAGATGAAACAAGAGGGTGTTTGAGCGCACTCTCCGCACAATGCCATGTGGGCCAGTTCTAGCTCCCTTAATTCCACTCGCTCATCCAGAGAGACCTTCCTCCACTCCAGGGGCAGCTGGGAACCATCAGCTCATCACTGGAACACCCTCCCTCCAGTGGGTAGGCTGGACCTTGTCCACTGTAGTTCCTGACGTCTTTTTGCTGAATGCACAAGAGAAAGGAATAAGCTAGAATCAGTAAAGGAAACTGTTCCAACCGGCTTCCCTTTCTCCTTCCCTTCCAAAGAGGTTTTAGCCAAGATGCTCTCACATCTGGGTGAGGGGATTTGGAGGTCTGAATCCTCTGTCTCACAGTGAACACAGTGTGGGGGTTCTCCGAGTGTAGAGCCTCTTGCAGCCCAGTCAGCAGGGACAGTGGTAAAATATGAGTTCCTGGACCCTTTCCCAGACCTTCTCATTCTGAATTGTTAGGGGAGAAGCGGGGATCTTTCTGTTACAGACACATTCAGTGCTTCCTTGGAAACGAGTTTAGGAACTACCAACACTAAGGAAGATGACCCTTCACTGACATTTCCCCTCTTAGGCAGATCCTTTCCAGCCATGACGCAGTGAATTACAGCCGCTCAGCAATGTTATGAATAATGTGAGCTCATCACCTAATCAAACCTTGCCAGTGGAGGTAGAACCTGGCTGGCTGGCTCTGATCCCCACGCACATTGTCAGGTGATTGCTTTAGCAAAAGGCCTTCTGCCAAATACCTCTCGGTTGAACTTTGCAGCTTGAGGAGAGAAGTATGCGTGAACGCGTAAATGCCAAATCTCTTATTATTCTGAGTTTTCAAACGATGAATACGATTCCACCCACATTCTTGAGAAAGGGCAGCACACCTCTCTCATCCTCAGCTTAATGGAGCAAGAAACTCAGTTTCTTCACATTGCTTGGCGAGTCTATACCACAAATAGGACTAAAAGTCATATGTTGACTTTTGGTACCGTTTTATAGTGAGCCTTTCATGGTCCATCTTCCAAGGCTGTTAGAATGTCAGCTCCATGAGGGCGACGCTGGTGTCATTGATTTCTCTCCTCCCAGTGCCTAGAAGAGTGTGTGGCACACAGTAGTCATTCAGCAAACGGCAGAATGAATCCATTCCACTTCCTGAAGTGAAGAGCCAAATCGACACACATTTCCATCTGCGGAGTATCAGTTTCCTACAGTTTACTTCCACCAGTTAACCACCTCCTGTATAAATCTGTGCAGTTTTCACTTTAGATATAACTTTCTGGTGACCCCATAAAAAATTGGCAGAAATTCTCGGAAAGGATGATCATGTAATTGGTCTTGTGGGGGATCCATGGAGGGATACATTTCACATTATTCATGTTTCCAGATGGGCGGCAGTCCCCAGGGCAGTCATTCCAGAACCCTTTCTCCGTGTTAAGTTTACTCCAAGAAATATAAATAGTGATTTAGGACTTGATTGCTCCCACAAAAGGCACCCCTGTTTTGGTGCAGGGTGGGAAGGGGGGCAGAGGAAGAGGCAGCTGGGAAGCTATGTGAGGGGCCAGGCGTCCACAGGGGGGGCCACTGGGTGTGAGCCAGCGGCTGGTCAGAGTCTCTCCGGAGGATGAGGGTTCCGCGTGTGGGGGCTGGGAACTAGCTAGAGATGAGATTGTCCATGGTCAGGCAGTTCAGGAAGTTTTCAGCAGCAATAAAGCTTGGATGTGGGCATGCCAAGTTCGGAGGAGATATAGGTCCATTCCCATCCTTCTGGAAAAACAGTCTTCAAACACCACAGCTCGTGTCCAAGGCTACTTAGCTGCTTGGGGTGCTGGGCTACTCAAATTTAACTGTAGCGTTTCCTGAACTCTTCTTACTAGACTCATATATTCACACCTTTGACAAATGTGTGTGTGTGTGTCAGCCTCTGTGCTGGCTGCTGGGAGACAGCCTTCAGCAAGGACTGAACTAAGTACCATTTCTTTACCAGTGAATCCTGTTTCATGGGCCTCGGATTCTGCACCTAGTCAGATATTTCCCAAATGCTTGGCGCTGTTTCCAAAGGGGTAGATCCGGAGCAGTTAGATCAGAGCAAACGCTTCAAGAGCTCTCCACAATGAGTCAGTGGAACCTTGATATTCTAAGGACATAACGATCTAATTTAGGCTGAACATCATCTAGCCAAACGCACATTAGGCATTTAAGTCATGTAAGGCTCAATCGGAGTGTCAGTATGAACTTGATAGAACAGTGTTCATTTGAAGAGAAAAATAGCCCGGCACCTTTAAACTGGAACCCTGCTTCCACTCGTGCTCGGCACAGCAGCCAAAGCATTTTATCAGCCCTCCACCGGCTTCTTGCTGCAATTCCAATAAAATTCCATCTCCTTGCCAGGATCTACGCAGCCCTGGAGTCTGGCCCCTGGTGGTATCTCTGACTTCTCTGGAAGCTGGTCCTGGTCTTGGAGTTGACCTGAAACTCTTTCCTGCCTTATCTTTTCTCACCTGGCTCCTTGTTATACAGAGCTTTGTTCAGATACCTTCTCAGAGAGGTCCTTCCTGGCCAATCTCTCTGCAGCAGCTACGGACCTTCCCCCATGGGATCTCTTGATCTCCTTAGCATAGTTCTTGTTCTTCATAGCAGGAATATTATAGCCATTTATCACAATGAATATTTGTTGAGTGAATTAATATGTATCACATTTGCTGAACATCCCAAGGTGTTCTGGGGGTGTCTGTGACTATTACCAGATTGCCAGTGGTCTGACGGCACTTTTTAATTTTTTTTTACAGCCCATCCACAGGACATGACAGTACTTTATTTTTGTTTTAAAAGACAGGGTCTGACTATGTTGTCCAGGCCAGTCTGGAACTCCTGGGCTCAGGCAGTCTTCCCACTTCAGCTGCCCAAAGTACTGGGATGACTGGTGTGAGCTACCACCTTTAAAAAGGGCCTGACATCATTAGAGAAATGCAAATCAAAACCACACTGAGATACCACCTCACACCAGTTAGAATGGCGATCATTAAAAAATCTGGAGACAACAGATGCTGGAGAGGATGTGGAGAAATAGAAACACTTTTACACTGTTGGTGGGAGTGTACATTAGTTCAACCATTGTGGAAGACAGTGTGGCGATTCCTCAAGGATCTAGAAATAGAAATTCATTCCATTTGACCCAGCAATCCCATTACTGGATATATACTGAAAGGATTAGAAATCGTTCTATTATAAAGACACATGCACATGTATGTTCATTGCAGCACTGTTTACAATAGCAAAGACCTGGAACCAACCCAAATGCCCATCAGTGATAGACTAGACAGGGAAAATGTGGCACATATACACCATGGAATACTATGCAGCCATAAAAAAGGATGAGTTCATGTCCTTTGTAGGGACATGGATGAATCTGGAAGCCATCATTCTCAGCAAACTGACACAAGAACAGAAAACCAAACACCACATGTTCTTACTCATAGGCATGTGTTGAACAATGAGAACACATGGGCACAGGGAGGGGAACATCACACTCTGGGGTCTGTTGGGAGATGGGGGGCTAGGGGAGGGACAGTGGTGGGTGAGGAGGTTGGGGAGGGACAACACTGGGAGAAATGCCTAATGTAGGTGACAGGGGGATGGAGAGAGCAAACCACCATGGCATGTGTGTACCTATGCAACAATCCTGTAAGATCTGCACATGTACCCCAGAACATAAAGTACAATTTTTAAAAAAAAGAGGAAAAAAAAGGGCCTGATAGACGGGCACAGTGGCTTACGCCTGTAATCCCAGCACTTTGGGAGGCTGAGGCGGGCGGATCACCTGAGGTTGGGAGTTTGAGACCAGCCTGACCAACATGGAGAAAACCTGTCTCTACTAAAAATACAAAATTAGCTGGGCATGGTGGCACGTGCCTGTAATCCTAGCTACTTGGGAGGCCGAGGCAGGAGAATCGCTTGAACCTGGGAGGTGGGGTTCCAGTGAGCCGAGATCGTGCCATTGCACTCCAGCCTGGACGACAAGAGCGAAACTCCGCCAAAAAAAAAAAAAAAAAAAAAATCCTGAGAGCAGTTTTTAAAACCATATTTGAAAACCTGGTACTTGACAGCCTTAGAACCTAGAATTGACAAAGTGCTTAATATTTTGTTGTTGTTGTTCAATTGACTCTAATGAAATTAGCACCAGACCAGTGACTGGAAAAATCACATGTGACCAAAGAATCCCATTGGTGGTGTCAGTGACACAGGAAGCAGCCGATTGCTTCCTCACTGGAAACCAAGGGTGATGGCAGAGCTCCGGGCACATGGTGCCACCCAGTAGGAGAAACGGTGCATAACAGTGCAGGGGCTTGGGCCTGAGGTCATGTTGAGGCTGGATTTGGTAGGATGGTGCCCTTCTGAAATATGTTTAGTAGCTGCACTTGCTGAATTGACAGCCTCTCTGTTTAAAACTGACAAGGAGAAAATTAAGTTTCTCCTGCTTTTTGTGTCATGCATGAATAACCAATTGCTTGCCAGCTAGTTAAAATTCATATTTCCCTTGTCAGTGTTTTAGTGACTGTGAAGATCAGGTTAATGTAAGCCTTCCCTCCTTTTGCCCTCTTGGCTAACTACCTAGCTATATTTGCATTCTTTTTATATAAATCATTTTTGTCCCCGTCCCTTTGACAGCACAGTATCAGAGATGGCATATTATCTTCACACATGTTCCGTGCTGGAAAGCGTTTGCTCTTATGTAAGTACAGAGACAGAAAGAGACACTTCGCATGTATCCAATCTTTTTAATGACTCCAAGTCAAAGATTGTTTTTTTCTCATCGACACAAAGGATTTGTTAGCTACCAGGAATCTGAGAGTTTTCGAATCCTGCTGGATGGGAGTTCTAAACGTTGTGACATAGACTTTTCTGATTGTATAGAGTCACTCACAGATCCTACACCATACAACTGTATCATTGCTTCACAGAAAAGAAGACTCTTCAACTTTAGCAGGTTCTTCCCACCTGTGAAACACCTGGTAACGCTAGTTTTCTACTCAGTTCTCTTCTCAGCTCTGCAGAACAATTGAATCTCAGAACTGTGGAAAACAGAGAATCTTTCCCTGTCTTCAGGGAAAGATTGTGTCTTCTTGGTCCACAACTCCCATAGACTTGCTGCTGAGAGTCACTGGCAACTGTCGCCACATCTTCTATCCAAATCGGAGAAATAACTGAGCCGGAAACTAAGAGTTGTCTCTGGGTTGCACAAACAATGTCTCAGGAACATGCTGGCCACCACTCTGTACGAGGAATGAGAACTGGAGAGCAGGATATGAATTTTTCTCACCCTCAAAAAACCCAGGAGAGATACCCTCCTGAGGTTTATAGGAAATGTGTTTCTGACCCAAGGGTCAGAGAATAGCTTACTATGAATTTTAATTGGCTCCCAAGTAATTGCTCATTCATCTCTGACTTTGGCAGGAAAAAAAATTAAATGTTAAAGAAACGAATTTAGCAGGGAGACTTTCTTTTCTTTTTACATGAGCACGATTCCACAGCTGATGAAGCCTAACAGAGAAGATGGTAAATAAACATGTGAGGCTGGGGCATTCATCTTCAGAACTTGCTGCTTGAAGAGAAGCCTGGAAACTGCAGGACTCATTTGGGATTTTTTTTTTTTTTTTTTTTTTTTTCTTGAGACAGGGTCTCACTCTGTCACCCAGGCTGGAGTGCAATGGTATAATCTTGGCTCAACTGCAACCTCCGCCTCCTGGGTTCAAGTGATTCTCCTGCCTCAGCCTCTGGAGTAGCTGGGATTACAGGTACGTGCCACCATGCCCAGCTCGCTTTTATGTTTTTAGTAGAGATGGGTTTCAACCACGTTGGCCAGGCTGGTCTCAAACGCCTGACCTCAGGTGATCCACCTGCCTTGGTCTCCCAAAGTGCTGTGATCACAGGCGTGAGCCACTGTGCTGGACCTGGATTAGAAATCTTTTTTTTTTTTTTTGAGACAGAGTCTTGCTCTGTCACCCAGGCTGGAGTGCAGTGGCATGATCTTGGCTCACTGCAACCTCTGCCTCCCAGGTTCAAGTGATTCTCCTGCCTTAGCTTCCCTAATAGCTGTGATTACAGGTGCAAATCACCACACCTGGATAATTTGTTATAGTTTTTGATAGAGATGATTTCACCATGTTGGCCAGGCTGGTCTCAAACTCCTGACCTCAAGTCATCCACCCACCTCGGTCTCCCAAAGTGCTGAGATTACAGGTGTGAGCCACTGTGCCCAGCCCAATCATAAATCTTTAACACTGACAAAGGAGTCTGCTACTGCCAGAAACAGGCCACACCAGTTTTTCGATGCTGAGAGGCAAGGCAGAGTGGGAGGGAGATGCAGAAGGAACAGGACACAGAGGGCCTGTCTCACCATGCAAGTCACATGAAACCAACAGCAACCTAACTTGGTTGGAGAAACTAAAGTCCCAGTTGTGAGTCCACAAACACCTCCTGCCCTTGTGGACTTCAGAGGCTCCGTCTTTGTCCCTACCCATTCCTCTGATTTCCTCCCTCCCCAATTTTTTCCCTGACATTTTTCTGCTCAAACTCGCATTTTCTCTTATTTGATGTTTGTTGCATATGTAACATAAAATATGTTTTAAAATGTATAGTTGAATCATCAAGCATTGAAATTGAGCATTCTTTCTGGGAATGTATGCTGCTGGGGAGATGATGACCATCTGTTCACTCAGCATGCACTCTCAGTCACCTCTGCCCTTGTTTTTCTCTGTTGTCAAGGCTAGAGAGAAATTCTCAACTTCCCCAATTGCCCGTGGCTAGGTGGAACTTGAGGGGTCCAGTTTCTGCTTAAAAATCCATGTGTGGCCAGGCATGGTGGATCATGCCTGTAATCCCAGCACTTTGGGAGGCCGAGGCAGGTGGATCATGTGAGGTCGGGAGTTTGAGACCAGCCTGGCCAACATGGTAAAACTCTGTCTTTACCAAAAAAAACAAAAAGCAGCTGAGAGTGGTGGAAAGAACTTGTAATCCCAGCTACGCTGGAGGCTGAGGCAGGAGAATCGCTTGAACCTGGGAGACAGAGGTTGCAGTGAGCCAAGATCACACCACCGCACTCCAGCCTGGGCGACAAGAGCGAAAATCTGTCTGAAAACAAAACAAACAAAAAAACTTGTGTGACTTTTTTTCAGGCCTGACCGACTGCTATTCCAAAGGCATTACCCAACAGGCCTCACAGGAAGGCTGCATAGCCAGTGCTCCCTCCTAGAGTCTCCAGCAAGGCTCTGGCCCCTCTGGCTGGTCCTGCCCTTTTGTGGATCTGCATTCCTAGTTCAGGTGCTCAGTTCAGAGGCCTCAGAGACCCTTAAGGGAAGATCCTTTTCTTTACCCTGACTCAGTACCTTTACACTCTTGGCTTTCCCCCTCCCACTACCCAACTCCCCAGCCCCTGGTCCATAACACTTCAGGGAGCCTTTGGTTTGGGGCTCCCTCAAGGGTGAGACAACCCCCAGATCTGTGCTGATTCCCCTGACTCTTAACCATATGGGTGCTCTGTTACACAGGGAAATGAACCAGGGGAGCTCAGCACTTCTTCGAGCATGGGCCTCCCGTTTGTACTACTGCAGTGCGGGATTAAATTATTCGCTGTGACTTCCATTTCGGCTTGTGGTAGCTTCAGGTGGCTACTCTAAACCCCGACAGCTCAGCTCTCTCTTCCAGCTCAACCGAGCTCCTGACAGAGAGCCATGAGATGCAATTTGGGGCAATTTAAGAGGAAGTCAGCTGCATGGTTATACATAATGTGATAAGCCAAGACCCTAAAGATGCTGAGAAAAAAGGTCAAAAGAGCTTGGGTTTTGTTTTGTTCTGGATGCAGTGGTCTCACTGTGTTGCCTGGGCTGGTCTCAAATTCCTGGCTTCAGGTCTCGGCCTCCCAAACTGCTAGGATTACAAGTGTGAGCCATGGCATGCGCCTGGCTTGTTTTTTGTTTGTTCTTTTTTTTAGATACTGGGTCTTGCTTTGTCACCCAGGCTAAAATGTAGGGGTATGATTATAGCTCCCTGCAGCCTCAACCTCCTTGGCTCAAGTGATTCTCTTACCTCTGCCTCCCAAGTAGCTGGGAATACAGACATGCACTACCACACCCAGCTAATTGAAAAAAAAAAAAAGTTTAGTAGAGACTGAGGTCTGGCTATGTTGTCCAGGCTGGTCTTGAACTCCTGACCTCAAATAGTCCTCCTACCTTGGCCTCCCAAAGGGTTGGAATTACACTCGTGAGCCATCGTGCCCAGTATGGTCTGGGTTCTTAATAACATGGTTGAGCCATTGCAATAGCCTTGGGATATCAATCTTTCTACTTTTTCTTGTGTAAGAAAAATAGATTCCTTACAGTGATTTAAAAATATATCCACAAGTTCTCTCTCTTCCCATTAAAAGAAAAGTCCAGTTCTTTTTCCCATAATTATGGGTCGGCTTGAGCTTGTTGTTTCTAACAAATGGAAGATAGTAACATGCTAGAGTGACCACGTGAAGGAATCACGAAGGGATAAAAGCTCAAGGGGCCCCAGCTGTTCCTGTCCACAGACATTTGGGTCTACTCCAGCACGTAAGCGAATGAGCCTCCAGTTGATTGCGGCCCCCTCCCAGCTGAAGCCAAGTGGATCGCAGATGAGCTGCACCTGCTGAGCCCTGCCCAAATTGCAGATTTGGAAGCAAAATGAATACTGTTTTAAGTCACAAATTGGTCACTGTTTTGTTACATAGTATAAAGAAACATAACAGCTCTACAATGTAAATTATAGTCAGGTGTTGCTACTTGTAGCCAAAGCATTCCTAACCTATAAATGTTGCAACATTCGGAAACAGAAGAGAGCGCGTGCGGGCCATCCTGGCGGCGCACGCTTACCCCGGGATGCGGCTCTGGCCCCTGAGGCCGTCGTTCGCCAGCCCCGACCCCGAACAGCCGGCCGGAGACGCCCCGGGGACCTTGCCCCGGAGGCCTGTCTCGCCGAGCGCGCTGGCGGGGTCCTTGTCGCTGGCGTCCCGGGGCTCGGCGCCGCGTACGTCTTGGAGCGCGCGGGAGACAGAGCTACTGCTGGGCGCGCTGCTGTTGGGCGCGCTGCTCCGCCAGGCGCTGGCCCCCTCCCGCCGCGTGTTGGGCGAGCTGGTCGGGCAGCAGGTGCACCGCCCCCGCCAGTGCCGCCGCCGCCACTACCGGTTACTCCGGGTCAGCTTCCCCCAGGCGCAAGGCCAGCCGTCCGGGCCCCTCGACGAGCACACCCCAGAGCTCACGAGGCTGCCTGGCGACCACGGGCGCAAACTGCCCCGCCGCCGCTACCGGGGGTCTGAGCGCCCCCAGCAAGGCCGCGGTCCAGCCCCCAGCGTACCCGCGCCGGCTCGCGGCCAAGCAGGTAGGCGGGGACGGAGGGTCGGGGGTGGCCGAGGGAGGGCGCGCGCGCCTTCCGATCCCCACCCGACTGCGTGCCCCGCGTTCCCAGGAGCCGCCCCGCTGCCGACCGCCCGCAGCCCCCACGCTGACCCCGCCTGGACGCCCCACTTCAACCGGTCCCCTCGGAGGTCTGCGGACACCTCCCGCGCACCTCCGCCGCTGAACGCCGCCCTGCTGCTGACCCTGGGGCACCTGCACCGCCTCATGAGCATTCTGGGCCCGCTGCGCGACCAGCTGCGGACCCTGAACCAGCACGTGGAGCATCTGCGCGGCGCCTTCTGCAAGACAGTGTCCCTGGCCGTGGGCTTCGTTCTGGGCAGTGCGGCGGCCGTGGGCTTCATCCTGGGCAATGCGGCCGCCTAGCGAGGGGTCACCAGGAACTCGTGCCAGTGACGCCCGGCTGCGGCTGCTGGCAGCCTCCGCCGCTCCAGGCCGGGGCCCTTCCGCCCTGACTCCTCCTGCTGCCTTCCCATCCCCACGCCTGTAAAAGCATTGTTCAGTAAAAGCATTGTTTTCCTAGAAAAAGCAGAAGACGTCATAATCTACTTTTTTTTTTTTTTTTTTTTTTTGAGACGGAGTCTTGCTCTGTCGCCAGGCTGGAGTGCAGTGGCCCGAACTCCGCTCACTGCAACCTACGCCTCCTGGGTTCAAGCGATTTTCCTTTCTCAGCCTCCTGAGTAGCTGGGATTACAGGTGCCCGCCACCACGCCCAGCTAATTACCGTATTTTTACTACAGGTAGGGTTTCACTGTGTTGACGAGGTTAGTTTCGAACTCCTTATACCTCGTGATCTGCCTGCCTCGGCCTCTCAAAGTGCTGAGATTACAAGCGTGAGCCACCACGCTCTGCTAAAAGTGCCACAATCTTTTCAAGGTAATACGAGATACTTGTTTACTATAAGCACGTTCACGGCAAGCCTCAATTTCATAACCTAACAATTTCAAGTACAACTGGACCTACTGGGTGGCTTTTTTTTTTTTTTTTTGGATACAGGGTCTTGCTCTATCACCCAGAATAGAGTACAGTGGCACAATCATGGCTCACTGCAGCCTCGAACTCCTGAGCTTAAGTGATCCTCCCACCTCAGCATCCCGAGTAGCTGGGTCTAAAGACATGCCCCACCATGCCCAACTAACTTATAAATTTTTTTTGTAGAGATGAGGCCTTACTATGTTGCCCAGGCTGATCTTGAGCTCCTTCGCTCAAGCAGTCCTCTACCTCTCCCCAAATATTGGGATTATAGGCATGAACCACCACTCTTGGCCTCTGCATAGCATTTCATAGAAAACATGAAGAGGATATTATAAATTTTGCATTAACAGATTTCTATAATTAAAAATCTTGGCTAGATTGTTTTTCCTCTACTCTTATTAGTAGAGTTAATATCTGTTTATTGAGCACTTACTATGGGCTAGGTGCTAAGGACACAATAGTGAACAAGACTAGTCACATAAGATCCCTGTCCTAATGAAGCTCACCTTGGGGGTGGGGAGGGGGGAACATGATAAAAATGCAGACAAGTGTGTTGATGTAATAATTTCAGATCATAAAGTTGTGAAGAAATTAGTGTGGGATATGTGGGGGAAATTGGGAATAGTTTTGCTTTAAAATGTCAGGGAAGGCCTCTCTAAAGAAGAACCACCAGAGATGAGACTTGAAAGGGAGCCCGTGCGAACAGAGGGTGGGGTAGGGAAGATGGGGAGCAGGCAGGGCCCCTCCCTTAGGTCCCTTGGGCCATGGTAAAGAATCTGGATGCTATTTCTGTAAGTGCAATGTTCGAGGCAGTGACAGGATAGGGTTCGAACTTTTAGAAGTTCACACTGTGGAAAACGAAGGGCAGAGGGGCAAGAGCTGAAGCCAGGAGACCCGTTAGAAAGCTGCTGCAGTCATCAAGAAGAGATATGATTGTGATATGAATGTTGATTACAAGTTGGCAGTGGTGGTGATGAGCTCAGATATGGGATAAACTGGGACACAGCTTGAAAGAGAGCTGATGGAAATTGCCGATAGAGTGACGATGGAGTTCCACTTCGACTAAAAGGGCAAGTTATTAATTTATGTGAATCTCAATGGTTTTGTCATCATTTGAGTATACCACCTGGTTGTCCCCTGAGCCTGTGTGTCTCGAAGGAGCACAGCGATGCAGGCACTAAGCGTTGAAAGCTGAAGCCAGGCCTGTCCTAAATGTTATTTGAAACAGGTGGTGTTAATTAATGCCCCTCTGGCTGTATGGCAGCAAGCTGTAGAGCTCCCTTCTGGGGCCATCCCTCTAGGTCTCAGTTCCCTTTGTTCGAAATCAGAGCAGTAGCATTTGGGTTACTTAGGATTTCACATGAATCATTCTTGGGGGAACTAGGGGCAGGGTAATGAATGCTACTAATTAGCCTGCTAAGTAGTCTCTGTAACTAGAGGATATTTGGTTGCAACTAGAAAGCTGAGGTGATTATCTCTTTATTATGTATGAATCTTATTTACATGAGCCACATGGGCATTTATGACCGATTAGCTCAGATAAATGGACATCCAGGCTAATGACAGCATCACAAATTCATTCCCTGTAGAACTCTTCTGTTTTAGGGCTGTAAACGCTATTCCTTGTAGTATGAGGTGGCCGGCAAGTCTGGAAACACTATTTGTATTTATGATTTATAAACCATTTGTTACGCTTTCACCTGTGTTTCAAGAATTTGGTGGCTGTCCTGGAGACACTTCTTGGGGTATCTTTACCAAAGCTCAACATTCCAGCTCTTAAACCATTCCACCTTTCTCAGATGCACGCCATCCACATAAGTGGGCTTCTAGGGACTCTGTCCATGTAAGTGACTCACCTCACTGGCCTCAGGTGATTGGACAAGAGCCAAACTCTTGATTCAGGCAGGGCCAATCAGATTCCTTCTCCCAGAAGTAGGCATGGAGAGACAGGCACACACAGTCTCTGTGAATGAGAGAACAATCGCCTCTAAACTCATTGCAGTGGTTCAGCCATATTCAGCCTTGTGGATAAAGAGGCAGAGAAAGCAGGACTGCAGTGTCAGAGAAGCAGGTAGATGTGCCAAAATGGAGGGGAGATGAACCAAGAGTGCATCTTGGGAACGCGGATGCTTTTCTGTTCTCAGCCTTGCCCTTCCTGAGGTCAGGTTGTAGTCCTGCACTGGGTTCCTCAACACACTTTTGTATACTTATACCAAATTCCGCCTCTGTGCCTAAGTGGAGTCCAGTTGGTTTCTGTCACTTGATACCCAAGAGTCTTAACTAACATGACTTTAGATCTTGCCACAAGCTCCCCAGGGAATTCCACTGGTCATGAGGGTCAGGAAGTAATAGGTAGATAAGCATGACTCCATCCATTGTCGCTGAAGTGGAAACAATTTAAGAGCATCCTCTTCTGGAATGATACCAACACTGTCATTTTTAAACACAAAGGGTGGTTGCATCCCATCCTGCAGAGCAAGGAAAGCTCTTTCTCTTCCAGAATTTCCAGAATCGGCTTTTTTTCTATTAGAAAAGAGTTTACCTGAGGTACTGACAGAGGAATCTACTCTTTGAAAAACAATAAATCCTTGGGAGGCCGAGGCGGGTGGATCACGAGGTCAAGAGATCGAGACCATCTTGGTCAACATGGTGAAACCCTGTCTCTACTAAGAATACAAAAATTAGCTGGGCACGGTGGCACGTGCCTGTAATCCCAGCCACTCAGGAGGCTGAGGCAGGAGAATTGCCTGAACCCAGGAGGCGGAGGTTGCGGTGAGCCGAGATCGCGCCATTGCACTCCAGCCTGGGTAACAAGAGCGAAACTCCGTCTCAAAAAAAAGAAAAAGAAAAAAAATTTAGCCGGGTGTGGTCACTTGCAACTTTTGTCCTAGTTGTGTTTCAGCTGTGATCACTGAAACCTCCAGCCTGCTCAACAAAGCAAAACTCTGTCTCCAAAAATAAATAAGTGATAAAAATATATATATATATTTTTTCTGAGACAGAGTCTCACTCTGTCACCAGGTGCCAGGCTGGCATGCAGTGGCGCAACTTCAGCTCAGGGCAACCTCTGCCTCCTGGGTTCAAGCAAGTCTCCTGCCTCATCCTCCCGAATAGCTGGAACCACAGGCCCGCGCCACCACACCCAGCTAATTTTTTTGTATTTTTTAGTAGAGACAGGGTTTCATCATGTTGGCCTGGATGGTCTCGATCTCTTGACCTTGTGATCCGCGCACCTCGGCTTTCCAAAGTGCTGGGATTATAGGCGTGAGCCACCATGCCCAGCAAAGCTATATTTTTTAAACAACAACAACAACAACAAAAAATTAAAAAGGCTAACAACCCAAATAGCACAACCAGAAGCAGTAGGCGTGGGGCAGATCAGTAAGCAACTTCCTCAAGGGAAAGGACCCTTTGTCCCAGAGCCAAGCACTTTGCCTGGAGTAGAACAGGAAATAAATGCTTATGGAGTAAATCAATTGAATGAACACATGATTGAAAGGATTGATAAAATGAAAGCCAGAAAACTATATCACCCATTGCTAATAGGATACAGATTGGTTGCTGTCAAATTTAAAGTATTAAATCCTCCCAAATTTGTCTACCCAATTAGAATCTGATGTAGCTTCTGGATATAAAAAGATTCTAAAAGCTCAACAGCTCCCACAGTTACTGCCTTTTTTTTTTTTTTTTTTTTGAGACAGAGTCTCACTCTGTTGCCCAGGCTGGAGTGCAATGGTGCCATCTTGGCTCACTGCAACTTCTGCCTCCCAGGTTCAACTGACTCTCCTGCTTCAGCCTCCTCAGTGGCTGGGACTACAGGTGTGCTCACATGACTCACCCACCTCGGCCTCCCAAAGTGCTGGGGTCACAGGTGTGAGTCACTGCCCCCGACACTGCTCTTACACAGCCACAGTGCTTACACAATTTTGAGTAAAGACTGGCCACAGTGGCACATGGCTTGTAATCCCAACACTTTGGGAAGCCAAGTCAGGTGGATTACCTGAGGTCAGGAGTTCGAGACCAGCCTGGCCAACATGACCAAACCCCATCCCTACTAAAAATATAAAAATGCTGAGTAGCTGAGATGACAGGTCTAAAATACAAAATATTCTAAAATATAAAAATTAGACCTGTCATCTCAGCTACTCAGGGGGGCTGAGGCAGGAGAATCCCTTGAATCCAGGAAGGTGGAGGTTGCAGTGAGCCAAGATCGTGCCATTGAACTCCAGCCTGGGCAACAAGAGCAAAACTCTGTTGCAAAGTTTTTTTAAAAAAAGAACATAGATATAAGTCACAACCCGAAGACCCAACCCTCCCCACTGCCTATGTCAGTAGGCAGTTCCCTGTGAACTCTTTCTACGTGACCACTCTTGAGCTCTCAATGGCTGCTGTATTTGGGATGCCCAACTCCATAAAGGACAAGACACACCTCTGTCTTGGTGTTTGCATCCTGGGGCCAGTGCTGGCACAGGGAACCACGGCCACCCCTTTTAATTACAGTCTCTGGAAGAAGAGGCTGCACCCCTTCTGGTTTGGAGAGAGCCTGGTTTCTTTATCTTATTAGCCGCAGCAGCATATCCCAGCACTCCAGTAATTACAGACCCATTGCTGAAGCAAATTGCTTATTTGAAAGAAAGACTATTTCCTTTCCCTAATGAATGTGAACAGTCCCGGAGCCTGAAGGTATGGGTATGAATGCCCCACTGTAACAATGAAAAGCGATGATAAATAAATGACACAGAGTGGCTCTGTTCTTAAAAATCACTGCATGATCAATTCGAGAGACGTGCATGAAGATGGGACTCAGGAGATTTTGTTTTAATTATTCTGCCCGAAGGAAAATGATACTTTGCTCTTTGCTGGCCCCATTGTATAGAGAAGCTTAAAGAGACTTTGAAAACATGATCCTGTTCATCCTTCTCAAACCACAGGCAGACACAGTTGCCCTGATTTTTTGAAAGGGGAAACTGAGGAGTAGAGAGATGAGTGTTGTCTGGTTTTTATCAGGCTATTGAGAGATTAATATTTCATATCCAGCATATTTTTATGTCTCCCCTATTCAGCTGTTCTGATCATTGTATTTGAAAACTCACCAAAAAAGAGGAGAAATTAACAAAAGGCTACAGAGAAGGTGAGCTTTTACTTTTATAAGCTGCCAACTTCTTAATTTTAAAATGAGGTGTGTGTGTGTGTGTGTGCACGCGCACACACACACACATACATTTGAGTATTGGGGTCAGGAAATAGTAAGGATAGAAAGATAGGAAGAGGTGGCTGGGCGCAGTGGCTCATGCCTGTAATCCCAGAACTTTGGGAGGCCGAGGCGGGCAGATCACCTGAGGTCGGGAGTTCGAGACCAGCCTGTCCAACATGGTGAAACCCCATCTCTACTAAAAATACAAAAATTAGCCAGGCATGGTGGTGCATGCCTGTATTCCCTGCTACTCAGGAGGCTGAGGCAGGAGAATCGCTTGAACCTGGGAGGTGGAGGTTGCAGTGAGCTGAGATCATGACCATTGCACTCCAGCCTGGGCAACAAGAGTGAAACTGCATCTCAAAAAAAATAAAAATAAATAAATAAATAAATAAATTTAAAAAAGGAGAGGTGAGGGTATTTCATTGCAGCCACTGAACACGGGAGTACCTGCCCCTCCCTGAAGCTGCAGCCCATGAGCCAGAGGGCCTGGGACATAGCCAACGACTCGGGCTGGAGTAGGGGCTGATGAAAAATCATCTACTTGACAGTTTTGTCAGACCAGAGTACCCTTGGAATAAAATATTTTACAATTAAAAATACAAAAAATCCATTTACTAGTGAATACAGGACCCGTCTCTGAGACCTACTGCTGCCCAGGATGGCAGTTTATAATTAATATTTCATCAGGGGTCAAGCTGCAGACCACCAAGAAGGCCCTCTGAGACCATATTGAAAAATCAACTTGTTACCCTTTGCCATTTTTTAAAAAAGTGAATCCATTTGAAATTCATAGGTAGGAGTCTGCAACTGTAGAAGTTCCAATAAGATTTAAAAATTCCTCAGGAGCCTGAATATATATATTTTTTGAGATGGAGTTTTGCTCTTGTTGCCTAGGCTGGAGTGCAGTGGCGAGATCTCGGCTCGCCGTAAACTCCACCTCCCTGGTTCAAACGATTCTCCTGCCTCAGCCTCCCGAGTAGCTGGATTACAGGTGTGCACCACCATGCCCAGCTAATTTTTTGTATTTTTAGTAGAGATGGGGTTTCATCATGTTGGCCAGGCTGTTCTCCAACTCCCAACCTTAGGGGATCAACCCTCCTCAGCCTCCCAAAGTGCTGGGATTACAGGTGTGAGTCACAGCGCCCGGCCTATTTCCAGAGATTCTTTACTGAAGCATCAGTACTTCTTAGATGGGTTTCTTGTTTGTGGGTGTCAAGTGCCTTTGCACTGCTTCTTTGTACAATTCTTAGCCATATGACTTTCATCAGGAGTTGACAGAATCCCCCACCCCCACCCCCCAAAAAAGAATCAGAGGAGCTTTATTTCTGCTTACTTTTAAAGGATGAGAACACATTATTTGAAAGCGTTTCTGGAATTTGGCTATCTATATGGTTTGACAGTGTTAAGTGAATCAACTAATCACATTGACCAAATCACTAGCTAATTTGGTAAAGCAATCAGTTTACTTAATTGTCCAGCTGCTGATCAAATCAATGAACTGG